AACAAAGAGCTCTGTTTAAGTTTGTACCAGGCTGGGACTGTGGGGCAGCCGTTAAAGACCACCAAGGTTTTAAATAAAACCGGACACTTTTAAGTTTCCTCTAGCTCTCCTTGCAGTAAATGCACCCAATATGAAGGGAATGTCAGTATCTCCCAGGAGGAAGATCTCTAAGGCTTTAAAGAGGAAAACAAGTTTCATCTCTTTTTATATATGTAAGCCCCACATGTATATTTTAAATATATATCTATATATACACATATATTTTGTTTTATCAAATTTAAGGACATCACCATATTAATTTTGTTCCAGCTCAGACTTACTCAACGGCAACATGTTTTTAGCAAGGAAGAGCATTGGTCTAGGACCTTTTCTACCACATTCAAACAGCTAGCATCATTACTCTCCTAAAACTCTAACTCAGACCCAAAGGTACACATGTTCCAAATAAAATTGATGCTCTCTATTGTTGAATACTGCTCACCTCTGAAGAGAGTTATGAAGCCAGGTTAGAAAGACTCTATAAGCTACACTGTAAGTTCCTTGCACATGCATCTGCCTTAGTGCAGACATTTGTTTTTAACTCTCAAGTCTATGGAGGAGTATAGCTGTAGCCAGGCTGAAATAGTCCGAAATATCTTTGCCAAATACAGGTCACCAGAATCCCCTCCTCATGATGGCAGTTAATAATCCAAGGCCCAGACCAACGTCTACTGAAGTCAATGAGACATTTTTACTGGCCCATGAAATCCTAGTTATGAACTGTAAGGCAACAAGCCTTCTCAGTAAAATCACAACCCTGAAGAAATATAACTAAGCAGGATTTGACCCAAGCTGGTACACATGTACCATGGCCAGTAGTCCTTATACCAGGCTCCACGCTTCTAAGATTAGAATGGATGAAGTACTCATACCCTTTCTTTTTTCACTTGTCATCCTAAAATCTACTATGATTACAGGTAGCAGCTATATATCCTGAGAATTAAACATGACCTAGACAATAGACCATTATAACTCTTCCAACTCAAAGTTATGTAGTTTATGTTAAAAGGCTATTGAAAATCAACACTGATACTTATTTATGGAGAACTCCAGAGAGGCTCCAGATGATGCCCTCTTGTAATACTGGTTTTCTTAAGTGGTTCAGGAAACACTGCTGCTAGAACACAGGCTATTCAGCCACGAAGCTAAGCCAACAGCCTTTTTGTTGTCTATGTTAATGTCTATAATGGATTTGGGAGAATAAAGTAAAGATTAGAAAGACTTATTAGATAATGTATCAAGAGCAAAAAAAGCAAAACTACACAGAGATTTGTCTGTAGTTAAAAAAATGGTATGGATGTAAACACATTGCTTGAAAAGCCTGGAGAGACAGTCCAAAAGTGAGCAGCTCTGCTGGCACAGCACTTTAGTTAATACAGCAGTCCCTGCATAAAGTGTAAGAATAAGTTAGACCAACTGTACATTGAAATCTTTACTAGCAGTCCCTGCATAAACTTATTCTTATAAGTTAGACCAACTGTACATTGAAATCTTTACAAAAAGTCATACTCGGGGTTTGAACTTGTCAAACTCATTAACTGCTTAGACATTGGTTACCCGCTTTACTGACTTCTAAAGACAAAAGTGGTGGTTTTAATTAGTCCAAAACCACATAGAAATATTCAACAAAAAACTAATCAGAATTGTCACTCAATTTTTTATTTTTTTTTTTTACAGTTCACTAGCACTCAAAAGTCTATCCAACAACAAACGATAAGCTATGCTATGCTTTTATCCTGCATGAGAGGGATCTTTCTACCAGATATTGTCCCTTGTGGCTGTTGTCAATGATGAAAGGCAGAGCTCAGCCTTTCTAGGAATCGCTGCATACTTGAGAGCGCTCCAGATGCGTGGTCCCAGGCCAGCTTCTTAGCAGGCTTCTTAACATCTAGCTCTTACCTCAGCTGAATCCACCATGCAGCCTGCTTCCAGACTCTGCAAGGATTATCCATTCCTCAGCTCCTTTCATTTCTCACAGCCTGGGACAGCCCCATTCAGCAGGGACTGAACAGCCATGCTAGGTGTCTTCTCCACATGGGACTCATTGGTCCACAAGTCTGGGCTCAAGATATTTTCTTAGAGGAAACATTGCGTAAATCTCAAAAAATACAGTTTAGAGAGATACTCAGGAATGTGTCTATTTGTGAAACCACCAAGTAAAATCCAATACTGTGACTGACAACCTGACTACAAATACTTTTGAGAGTATGCTTTTTGAAAGTCCAAGTGTATTCAGCAGGTTTGGAAACTGTTGTTTTGTTTTTTGAGAACCTCAGTTTCCTATTTTTCTTCTGTCAGAAAACCCAAAATCAGAAAGAACACAGAAAGGAAAAACTGAGGGAGAAAGAACACAGAAAGGAAAAACTGAGGGCACAATAAAATTCAGCTGGACATTACCAGCCCTCTGGAAATGTTTAGCTCTGGGATTATTTTTTATCTTCTCTATTTTGACAATCCTCATGTGCCACAAAACTAACAAAAACTTGAAAAGCCTCTATCAAAGAAGGTAGCACAACACAGTTACTAGCATTCAAGTTTGGCTGAGGCAGCAGCTAGAATGTGTGCTCTTCTCTGCTGAATTTTCATTAATAATCCAAGTTGCTTAACACTTAACTCTGGAAGCCAAACTGCTTTTTATTTGCCATGCTCTGTAGTCCCTAAAATACTGTTATTAACATAGCCTAAAAGCCATTTCACCTTTATCTATTTAAGAGTTGACAAGATG